ATCCAAGGAGGCGGCCCGGTCAGGAATGAGTCCACCCCTCTGAATAATTAGGACTTCAAAGTCTGTAATATTTAGTTATGACCTGTTTGAAAACTGGAGAACCCCTTTAAAAAAATATGTGATTGATGCTGTCGTTTGTCCACAAGCTGACTGTTACTGTCTAACCAAAACTACTCACAACTTTAGTTAGATTAAGTTATCCTTTGAATTGTAAACACTTAACCTCTTTAAGCACACACGTAGTACAGTAATGGTAGTAATAGCAACTCAGTAGTTCACTTAATATTAAGCAGTTAATTGAAATTTAGGACAGTCTGAATGTTTGTTTCTGCATTTATTGTTACATTATGGCATAGTAGCCCTTACTTTTTCGCATTATGAGGGCACTGTATAGTGGATAAAGTTTTATAGGGTACATCTTCTCAACTTCAGCAGCAACTCTTTGTATAGACACGGTCAAGACAACCTGCTGTCTTTCAAACTGAGCATCAGAAAGTGGAAGGCAGGTGATCTGTGTTCCCTTGAGTGAGGTATGGGCTGAGATTTGGGCCAATTTCCTGATTCTACCATACCGATGTGCATTAAAATTTCTGAGCAAACTGGTTAAATCTATGAATAATTGAGCCAGTTCTGGAAGCAAAGGTGGGTCCAACCTGGTATTAGCAAGGTGGACCTAATAAAGTGACCAGTGAATGTATAGTCTTGTAATTGGATAAATTGGTAGTGGATGAGTTTAATTTCAATTCAATTTCAATTTTATTTATATAGCGCCAAATCACAACAACAGTTACTTCAAGGCGACTCAAGTTTTTCTCACTATTTTGTAAATAGGAAATAATTTCAGGCATAGTCTCTAATTTGTGTTCGTTGTGTTATTTAAAATAGTAACATAGACAAACTTCAGACAGGAGTACCCAGAGATTGCACTCAAAACCTCACTAGTAGTAACCATGTAAAACATCTTAAGGCCTGAGAAGAAATCGACCCCAGTGAGTACATAATATTTGTTGTAATCTAAGAGACTATTTTCAACAAAATACAGTCCTTTCTTGTCCTTTTTTGTTAGCTGTTCCGGCACCTACACTACCTCTGGAAAGACACACAAAAGCCTCTGCCTCGTGAAATAAATTGGTATAAATCTCCAGTGAATCCTCAGTGTCTCCGTGGCATTTTGAGAATTAGGCTGCCCATATATCACCAAAGACAGAGATTAGCCTACAGAAGGCGAGCCACCTTTCCACATAGCTCTTATTACCTTTTATCCTCTGGTTTCACAATAAAAGTCAGACTGTAAGTCTACAAGAAAATGACCTTACGTGTTACTGGTTGTATGAAATCAGTATTTTCTTTATGGTGTCAGTTGCTCAACTTAAAATGTGTTTTAACACAGAATAATGTTTTTTGTGAAATGTAGTCCTTACTGGACTTAAAAAAAAAAAAAGAAGATGAAGAAAAGCAGCATTTTCTTATGTTGGGGCTACTCAGACCTAATCCTCACTCAAAACACCAAGATGGCGGCTGGCGATTGTCTGTCTTTTATGTACAGTCTATGTTTAAATCATATTAGTGAGGGGCCTGAGCATATGTGTCATGATCCCCAAAGAAGGACCTCTTGGCATTGTTGCATTATTTCCACATTGCCACTTTAACTTCATCATGAAACCTCATTTGTTTTGGCAAGCAGTCCATAAATAATGTTTTCAAAGGACTCAAAGGAGTCTCCATCATCCCACCCTCGGTGCTGGTATTTTTCCCCAACTGTCCCCTCAACTTATAATTCGTTGCAGATCGTTTCATGAGAGTTTCCCACTGTGGTTTGTTCAGTGACATCATTGCAAACATGCAGCATACTGCGAGCCTGTTGGAGTCAGTAGTCATCCTCGTACTGGGGAAATCATAATCTGGGGGGCTGTGGGCCCCCTAATTGCTTTGTGTAATAATACTCTGCAGCGATGCACTCTTCTGGGATCCATGAATGTAAATGCTCCCCCTCCTCATCATCTCCTTTCTTCATTAAAACATAACGTCAGCACTGTACCAACAAAGGGACAATTCACAGAGGCTGGAAGCGTGGTGCATGTGCACAAATGTTCCCTTTGGGTATTATTAGTAACCCGTGCTCTTGTGTATTTCATATTTATTTATTTATCCAGCCAAGTCAATTAAAGCCAAATTCTTATCAACAATGACATGCTTGCAGGGGGGGAGTGGATGGGAAAACTAAGCTGTACAAAATAAACAACAGTTGTTCTTTTGCATCAGTGTTGATATAAAAAAAATACAGTCTTCGTGAATTACATTATGTGTATGACACTGACATTTATCCCAAAAAATGCACATCTGCGTTGTGTAAAATTGGGCAGCATCAAAAGAATGCAAAATAAATGGAGAAAATGAATCATTATTTATTTATATTTATGACAGAGTAAATATTTAGTCTGACAATGCCGCAAGCATTTCCAAAACCCCCAAATGAGGTGGACTTACAGTTCAAAAATCACCAGCCCTCCCCCCCAAAGCATCAAATCCTTAAAATGTTAATTACAGTCAAAACACTTTCTTCAGCTTCAGTTTTGTTTACACCACAGAGTCAGAAGAGGAGAAGATAAAGAGTGTTTGAAAAGACAAGAGAGGAAAGTGCTGTGCGGCTTTGTAATTTCACATGAAACATCTTAAATCAGCCGAAGGATCCCACAGAAATCCCCCAACTGAATAGCTCACAGAGAGAGATGGGACAGTAATGCACAGAGCTGAGCCAGCCATCACCACTCAGAGCCGTTCTCATCCTCAGCACTCACTCAGCCTAAACAAGCAGACAGCTGATTCTTCTCAGGGTGGCCCGAGTTTAGACACTGGTGCAGATAGACCGGAGCGTCAGGAGAGGATCCGCAGCTGCTGCCGAATCTCCGAAATGTGACAATTTTTCCCGCATACCGCTGAAGCAATAATCAATTTAACAAATTCAGACTATCGACCGCATATCCTTTAAATATTCTGGAAGATAAAATCTAAATGACAGGAAACTAAAAATGGAGTTTAAGCATTAAAAAGTTGCAGTGGATTGAAATCTTACAGCATCCAGCAGAGGGCAGACTTGCAATAAAAGAGGAATAAGCCCTTTAGTGAGTAATTGGATCACTGTAACTCTTCTCCTAATGCATTTTGTGGTCCTTTAGTAAGCTGATAAGGTAAATCTAATTTAATTTTGATCATTAGGCCTGCAGGCAGTGCTTTCAAATTCCCATCGGTTATGTATTTATTCGGTCAAATGTGCCCGAGTTTCATTTCTGTTTAAGAGTGAGAGAAAAAGGAGAGTGTCACAAGGCAAATACGGCACATGTGGTGTGGATCAGGATTCATAAAACTGAGGGGTGTCCAATCTGATCTGTAAATTATTGTCATGCTGAAGGCGCTGAAGAACTTCTTAAGTCTTGGCTTTGAATTGCCACCCCCACACCCTCCCCTCCTCTCCCCTCCTTTTTTTTTTTTTTTTTTCCCTCCTTTTTTTTTTTTTTTTTTTGAGTCCAAACACATGTTGACCATCACGCTTTCCTTTCTTTCTTCCACAGGCGACTGCATTCTTGACCTGAAAAGTCCTCACAGTTGGTTTTCATAATCACACTGCCACACAGCTGACAGCAAGATGAAACCTTGTTTTCTACGCTTTTTGGGATATTAATCACTGTGCAGAGCTCTTACATTTTCTGCAAGAGGCCAGTGTGGTGAAACTACTGCAGACTAGTCTCTCCAGAGCCGAATCAGTCTTTTTTCATTATTGTTCTTTAATATTTTGAGAGGAGAAAAAAAATGGGCTAGCTTTCTGCTTCAAATATGAGGGAGCTTTACTAGACTATATTTTTTCTCGCAGCCTACATTAAAGACAGAACAATGCACGCACAGTACCATCATCACTTGCATGGTACCATGAGTGCTTTTCATGAATTGTTCAATCGCACAAAGATTCAAATTATGTTTGTTTTTTCCCTTCTAAGAATAAAAAGATTCTTATTCTCAGACACATAATGAAGCCTCACGGGCAGTGAAAGAAAAGGCAGCAGGCTGAAGATGTTCCCCAGGAGCTGGGCTGCAGGGAAATTTCACAATAGACCCTTTATTCCAGAGAGTGACTGAGTAATAATTCTTCTGCAGTAAATAACAGCAACAGTTTGTATAAAAGAGAAGTGCAGTGGACACATTTTAAAGATTAGGTTACAAAACCGACCTTTCTTAATAAATGCACAATGTATCATAAAGGCTGAATCACTACTGTAGCTTTTTTACAAATGTCAAAATACAGAAACCACCACTTTTAAGACTGGTGCACAGTTAAATGAGTTCAAGTGAGCTGCAATGAGATGAGCTGTTCGTGAAAGGTTTGGATAGATAGCTATATCAAGCTAGCTTCCATATAGGTACTTCATAAAATACTACGTATATTTTTATTCAAATTTCCTTATATTTGATTGATCTAAAGCTAAAAAGTGACGGCAGACTTACTTTGGGCGTCATACTGAGAAACTACTTCTTATTAACAAACACTGTTACCTGTAAGGTAAGCGCATTTGAACATAATTGGAAAATTAGCCCTGTTAAATCACGAAGCGTCCTGAAGAGGGTAGTGTTTGTTTTAAGGTGGCACGACGGCTGAAAACTGATTTAACCGAGGACTCCGAACTAAGAAAAACGCCACCGGGCAGCCACGGAATGCTAAAGGGAATAAATATACGGACTGTAATTCATATTTAACTCGAGAGACTCAAATAACTTTGAAATTTAACCTGAAACAACAACAAGTGCCTCTTTCAGTGCGCAGTGAAGTCAATGGTGCCTCCTTAACAGAGTGCTGGCACTTCGGAAAGGGGAGTGCAAAGGAGAGGGTCAGAACGAGTGGTGGGTGGGGATAGAGCCCTTTTGGGAGAGAGAAAGAAAAAAAAAAAAAAAAAAAAAAAAAAAATCACGTGTTTAGAGATCAAAGGAGATCCGCTTTGTAGAGGAGGAGGAGGAGGGTGAGAAAAAAGAGGGAGAGAGAGGGAGGGAGCGAGAGAGCAAGGGAGAGAGGCAGCGTTTGCAGGCAATGTAATTGACAAGGCTCGCAGTGGTGAAATAAACACGCTTCAGCCAAGGCTCAGTTTTTTATTGCACAATTTTGACTCTTGACGCATCGCCCGCACAGCGCACAGACCTGATTTCGATTATTTTCACCCGATTAATTCATCCGTGTGAAATTATGTCCCGATCGGCGCAGATCCAGCCGGCAAGATGATGATTTTACCAAGGAGAGGCTCAGATCGTGTGCCCGACTCGGTGGTCTTGGTGATCTTGGTGGTCGCCGCTTCTCTTGGTACCGTCTTCGCCAAGGATACAGCCTTTGTGGAAGTGGTTCTGTTCGAGTCCAGTCCCAATGGAGATTATACTACTTACACGACTGGCTTGCAAGGACGGTTCTCCAAAGCAGGAGCCACTATCAGCGCGGAGGGGGAGATCGTTCAAGTACGTGCAAAGTGTCCTTTTTCTTACGGGGGGGATGACAAGCGGCGGTCACGAGCAACGCTACCGGGACCCGGGCTGTAATTTAACCAAGCTGCCCTCCTAGAAACTTTTTCCGCTGGGACTTAGGGGTGCTGACAAGAGTTGTACATGGTGTGTGTGTGTGTGCGGGCAGTGTGTGTGAGGATGGTAACGAAGCTTGCAAGCATATGCGGTCACAAGATGGCTCCTATCTTGTGGAATTCATTCACAGGGAAAACATGCTCTTGCAAGTTATTTTGTTGATGTCTGGAGCTCACTTGAACGCGCCTTACATTCAGTCGCTCTCACTCTGAAACACACGCATTTCGGAGCAGTTTTCTTAAATAGCTACAACCCTACCACCGCCTCCACAAAGTTTGCAAACTCGTAGGGAGCAGGCGTTACGCATTTCGCAAGGGCCACTATTAAAACACTACGAAGCCACTATTTGTGCGTATTTAGCACTTTGTCCGTGTCAGAGCTGAGCCGCGTTTTTATATCAGCTTTAAAACCACCCAAAGCAAGTTTTAATAGTGGAATAGGTCTGCTTTTATTAACCGGACCAACGTGTAAAATAACCCCACGTCCCGCCGCCTGCACCCTGTTGGTGTGCAGCCGTCACCACTACATTTGTAGTGGCACGTTTTTGGATAAGGCTCACTTGTAACTATTTCAAGGCTCCGGAAACACAAATAAATAAGAATAGAGTGCGTAGTAGTCGTGGAAGAAGCATCCCGGTTCCATCTTTAATTTCCTGGCCTCAGACATGACAAGTGCACTTGGCTGGAGCTGGCTATGCTTGGACCAACTCTGTGTGGGAGTCGCTAAAATATGAAGCTTCTCTTAAGTGCCAGAAGGGTGTATTTGATGTTTTATTATTCTTGCCTAATGTGCTTGGACACTGTTTTTAAGAGTTTGGGTTCTGGTTATGTGCAAAAGCTTTGATGTTTAATGTTATATTTCCTAACCTCTAACATGTCCTGGATCAGGGGGTGCACAGCTCTTTGTGGGCGATTCAAAGCCACTCAAATGTAAAGCAGTTTTTGAATGGCCTGTGTCCTCTCTTTGAAGCTTGATGCAGTAACTGGGAGATGTTTGTAAAAGCCAGAGTGCAGCAAATGCCCCCATATTAAGGCAATGTGCATAAAGTTTGTCAGCAGTTGCATTGTGATCAGAGACATCATTTCAATATGGGTGTCAGTGAGCTCATCAGTACCCCGGAAGCCACAGCAATAATCATTCCTGACCATTTGTTTTTGCAGGGTATAGGACAGGTCGTGGTGGATCTGAGGCTTAATCAGGTTCAGCCTCAGTTGTGTTGTTGCATTGCCGTCATGCTCTCCAGTCAGCCAGACAGCTAGTAGCACCCTGCAGCCATCCCTCACTTCTCTGCAACAGTGTAGTCAGCTACTCTGCAGCATCTTTTGAGTGCACATTTTTGCTTCCCCCCCCTAAAAAAACATAGGCTCTTATTTTGAAATAAACACGATATGTGGAGATCAAAGGCAGGGATACTCAGCACAAAAATGGGCCCTGTTTATACACAGTGATGGCCATTTGGCGCCACTCGGTAACCACACAGAATTGTCGGACCTCAGCTTTACATTGAAAACCACATCTATTTAGGTTTGCTTTCTTTGCTAACATGGCCTCTGACCACTTAGAGACAGCTTATATTTTGTCAGGCTATAATGAGGGGCAGTTTGTCCGGCCCGAGCACTGTCTTGAATTTCCTATTTTACCAAAGATTTATGTAAGTTGAAACTGACAATGAATGACAATCATACATCGTGAGGAGTATAATTTAAAACTAGTATCCAATTTCCTACTTTTGAATTCTATACTTGTAAAATAACATTGCAGGAATGTGTTGGGAAATTTCTGTGGTGTTGTTTTACACTGGAATTGGGTTAAACTCAAATATTTAGGTTCTTGTCTCTGGTGATCTGGGCAGCCGTTGCACTTGTCCACTTTCAAGGCTTTCGAGTTCAGCGAATAAGCAGCTCGCTTAAGTCTTCCTGAGGTTTGTGGAGCCCTCTGGTCCTCTGTTTGATCAGAACCCTGAGGGGTTTGCGCTACCTTAATTTTGTGTGTATAATAGCGGTCAGACCTCAGCAGGTATGGGTTCAGATTCCGGGGAAAAGTGGGGGGGCCTTGGCAACACTCTTGAGCAAAGACCCAACCGCGATCACCACTCGTATGCTCCGGACTCTCGTTTTGCTAATTCCCTAAAGCTAACACCCCCGCTGATCTGACTGAAGAGTGCAGAAAACAGTGGCACACGCTCCCGGGGCCAAAAATAATAAATTAAGTTAATTTGCTTCTTGCGCTCTTCTAAAAGGGGGGAAGCATGATGACGCATATCTGGCCACAGTGCCAAACCCCAGGCTTCCCAAGGCATTTCCCTGATTGCTACAGTTCAGCTCCATAATAGCAAAGTAATCAATGTCTCCTTAAATCACTGTGTGTGTGTGTGTGTG